CCCGCGCCATCCTCCCTCCGCGACCCGCACCGCGCCGCCCCGCCCGGCCGGTGCGCGCAGAACAGGTTACCCGACCAGCTCCGCGGAGGAGGGCCCGCGAGCCGCGTGCCCCTGTGCACCCACCCCGTGCCGCTGCCACAGCTACCCCAGAATTTCCTCTTGGGCCAGGGCCGCCAGGGACGGGGCGCCGGGAGGGGCAGCTAGATGCTCCCGAGCCCGGCCCCTCCCCGCCGTGGGAGCGAGTGGAGTACTGCCCTCCTCGGTAATCGGCTCAGCCCAGCCCCACTGACCTCCACCCCCACGGCTGAGTCCCTCGGCACCTGGGCGTGTGTGGGTGGGGAGGGGAACCCAAGCTCGCTCTCCCTCCATCTGGCCCGGTGGACAAAGGGCAGGGGGACCATCTGGAGCCGCCGGGATGGGGGAGGGGCCACAGCGGCAGTCCCAAGGGGCGGGGGAGGGGCGGCGCTCGGAGAGAGCGGGAGCCTGTGGGGTCTAATTGCATCGCTTTATTTCACCGGTCTCCAGTCTGCCTCCTTAAACCCCAGCGCGGAAAACAAGCTTGGCGGAGAAGACCCAAGCCTGACAACGGGTGGGGCTCAAGGGGGAGACCCCAGAAGCAGAGGAAAGAGCAGGGAGTTTTTGCGGGGCGCGATTCTGGGCTGCAGCCTAGTAACCAGGGGGCGAATGGGTGGAGTCTAGGCTTGGCCACTCCCCACGCCTGGCACGAGGTTGGCCGGTGAGCTCCCACCTTCCCAGGCAATGCGGAGCTGCACAGTTTGAAATCCACTTGTACCTGTGCAGGCCCTGCGCGTGTGCGCCCAGAGTGCCTGGGAAGATGCAGTGGGGCACAAGGACCCAGTCAGGTGCTCCCAAGTGAAGGGATGTGCCTGGGATCACAGATGCTGTCGTGTGTGAGTATGTGTGGGCATGCGTGTAACTGTGGTCTCAGAGGGGCAGGGGAACGAGGAGGGGGTGACTGGCCTGCAGAGCAGAGCAGAGGAAGGAAGGACTGCCAGTAGGAGAAGCTCCTGGATTACCCTCTGTCAGAATACATCCATTGATTTCTGAATTTTTCCTCTTGATTTTACCTCATCGCTGCAAGTGAAAGAAGTAGAAAAGACAGACAGACAGACAGGCAGACACACCTGTTAGAAACGCATGGCTAGCCAGACCCACCGAGCAGGGAGAGGGATCCTAAGGCAGGCACGGGGCCACCCCTCCATCTGCAGGGCTAGGCTCATGCCAGGCCCTGTAAGAAGTCAAGCAGTCCCCTGTGCCACTCCTCAGGTTTGTCCAGGTAGCAGGGGTGCCCTGCCCCCTCCAGGACGAGCACCCGGTGGTTGGGGATCTGCTTCAGGTGCTCAAAGCTGGTGTGACCCATGGGGTCCTGGCTGCCATATACAATCAAAGCTGGAGTCTGAGAGAAATGAAGGAGAGGGAAAGGGTTAGCAGGGCCCAGCCACACCAGCCCCAGCCCCTGGAAGTTCAGCTCCAGCCCTTCCCAGCCTTCTCAGCCTCTGTGAGGGCCACTCTGAGGAAGAGGACCAGCCGGCCCCGTGGGTGGGCGCGTGGATTTGTATCTGCCCAGCAGCAGTTTAGCACAGACTGGCACAGTGATCTGCTAAGCAGACCGCAGGGTGGAATTTAGTGGTCGGCTCCTCCCAGAAGCCACCCCTTGGTGACCTCGCCCAGGTGGGGAAGGCTCAGGCATGGACTCTCCTGCAGGGGTCGTGGCTTCACCTGCACACCAGCATAGTCGGCAGCACTGATTCTGTCAGTGCAGATGGGGGCCACAGGCACATAAGCCCGGAGCTGGGAGCCAGGGGCCGTGAGGAAGGGCAGGGAGTACATGCCACTGAGCGACGGACTGATCACAACCGGGGGGCCCAGCTGCAAGGCCTCCACCACAGCTGCCAGGAAACTGCCAGGGGCCAACTCCCCCACAGGGGCAGGGGCTGGCACCTCCTTAGAACGCCCCAGACCTGCAGGGATGCAAATGCAAAAGAGAAAAGGGCAGTGAGTGGGAAAACCAGGCCCCTTCCTCCAGAAAGCCCTCCTAGGTTAAGCTGCGTGCCGGCCTCCTCTAACACCCCCAGGCCATGTTTATACCTACAGCCTGATCGATCAACTCTGTGGCAAACACAAGGCATTTTCCTCCATGTTTGCGCCCATCTTTTAAGTGTCCTGAAGAATCAGGCTCTGAGTAGGGCCAAGTCCTTCTGCATTTACTGTCTGTATGATACTGGCTAAGTCCTCTCCGCTCTCTCCCAGCTAACTGCTTAAAAGGCTCCTGGCCATTGGCACAAAGGGGCCCTGGAGGACAGCAGCCAGGGGGCTGCTTCCATGCTCCTCCCCCCGCTTCTGGTTGGCTTCTACCTCTGCCAACAGCATTGGCTCCGGACCTTTGCCCTCGAGTTCAGCCCAAGCCACTGCTGGAACCAATCCTACCCAGCTGGAGGCCCACCCTTGAGCTCTGCAATCATACCAGCCGTGGCCCGGGGAAGGATTAGACGGGCCATGCCTCTCCTTCCACACTGGACACCAAGGGTAGGGGCCTGGCAGTCCAGGACAGGACAGGTGGTCTGGGGGCCTGTCCCTCCCTGCTCCTCCAGAGTTCAACTCAGGGCTTTGCAGTGGGATGACTGCCAAGGGCGACCCACCCGCCAGGTCCTGCCCTGGCTCCCAGGACACCAGGAGACACAAGTCTCACTCCTCCAGGATCCCAGCAGCCTGTGGATTGGCTCTGTTAAAATATCATTACTCCATGTCGGGCGCTAACTGCACACCTGCAGAAGGTGATCTCATGCCATTCTCACCAAGACCAACCCCAGACATGAGGGTGAGACACCTCCCCAGTAACAGTGAGGAGCTGCTGAGCAGTGTCCAGGCCACATCTAGACCAAGACTGGAGTGGCTCAAAGGAACTTGTGGTGTGCACTGAACTCTTGAGAGCCTGAGGGCCCAGCCTGGGTGGCTCCTCCCATTCCTCTGGCCCCGGGCCCTGAGTCCCCGAGGCCTCGCCAGCCCCGCCCCGGAAGCTTGCCCCGAAGTACCTGGCAGGTCAATGGCCACAGCCCGGTAGCCAGCCTGGGCCAGCCTGTGCAGTGTACCCAGGGTCTGCCAGGTCTCAGAAGAGAAGTGGATGCCGTGCAACAGCAGCACAGAGAAACGAGCCGTCTGCCCGCCGCCAGGCCGTGCCTCTCGGAAGAACAGGCCCTGGCCCTGCACCTGGACGGTGCCCTCGTGCTGCTCCACACTTGCCATTCCTGCCGCACTGGGTCCTAAGTGCCTGCAGTTCAAAGCCAGGCAATGAGAGGCCACAGAACCGCCTGCCCCGGGGGAGCAGACGGCCTGCAGAAAGCAACAAGGAGGAGGTGGGCCTCCAGGACCCTAGAACACGCCGTAGAGCCAGGAAGACACAGGTGTTACTTCCTCCTCTCCCACTCAGCTGGGTGACCCTGGGCTTTAGCTTCCTCATCTGGAACATGGGGAGTAAAACCTACCCCAAGAAATAAGAGTTAAGAAAAAAGAACACCGGGGGTGCCTGCAGGTGGTTAGGAACTCAATGCACGGGGCTCCCGTTACAATTATTATCGCCATTATCCTTTTCTCCGAATGGGGTAACCCAATAGTACCAGCTCACAGGCAGCTGACAGGATTAAATGGGGCCCTGGCACCAGGCGGAGCGCACAGTAGTAAGTGCTCCACGGGCAGCAAATGCGCCGCACCTCACGACCTGGCTCAGCAACCTGCAGCCCAACGCCAACGGTACAGGCTGCGGGGAGACCCAGTGTCAAAGTCCGTTTTCCAGAGGCGGAAACCCAAACGCCCAGCAGGCAAAGACTTTGGAGTTCCTTCCAGCAAGGAACGCGGGGTGTTCAGCGTGCAACCCGCCAGGTCCAACGTACAGCTGCGGTTAGGGGCGCAGTCGCGGGCGCCACCAGGGCTCCGGAGTCCCCTCCGCAGACACGGCTCCGGCTCTCTGGATCTAGAGGGCGCACAGGGAGAGGAGGCAACCCGAAGGGAAAGGGGGCCTGGGCAGCCGACATGGGAGGCCTGGGTGGGTTCGGAGCGGAGAGAGGGCGAGAAGGGCAGGAGCTCAGGGAGGGTACCTGCGGAGCTGCGCGGCGCCGGGCGGCCAGGAGCGGGGCGAGCGCGCGGGACGGGCGGGGACCGGGGAAGGGGCGGGCGGGGGCGGGGCCGGGCTCCGCGGCGCCCTCTTTCGGGTCGTCCGCGCCAAACCCTCTGGGGCTCTCAGCCACGCGGTTTCCCCAGATCCTGGGCCCCAGGGCCGGCCGGGCGCGGTTTCTGCCTCCTCGTGCCCCGCCCGGGCAGACCCGGCGCGCCTGCGGGGAGGCGCCGTTCGGTTGCCGCTGCTCTCCTGCGCCCCGTCCTCTCCCGTCGGGGCTGGCCGGCCGCGGGCGCCGGGGCGCAGGTGGGGCGGAGGGCTGTGCCCGAGTCCGGCAGCGGCCTTGAGCGCTCTCCCGGCCCGCACAGCCGGCCTCCCTGCCTGGAGGACGGGCGGCAGGCCGCCAGGCTCCTCGGGTGCCGACGGGGAGCGAACCGGCGCTCTGCAGAGCATCCGGGGGCCAGGCCTGCGCGCCCCGAGCCTGGCACAGACGGGACAGACGGCGGGGGACAGACAGGGGCCTCCCCTGGCGGGAGGGCAGTGGCCGGGCGGGGACCCGGCGCCGCCGCGCAGGAGCAGCACCCCGCGCTTACAAGGAGGGCTCTGCGCCCGCCGCGCTCTGCGGCTGGACCCGCGCCTAAGTCACGACGGCCCTCTCGGCGCAGACAGCAGAAAACTCCGCCAAAGGAAAGACGTCCTGCTGGGGACAGCCCGGGGGCTCTCGCCGGCTCCCGGGCCCAGAACCGCGCGGGAGGTCGGCACGCGGCCGGCCCGGCGCAGCCCCTT